TAGTAGTAGTAGTAATAGTCTTCTGAGAATGCGCAATGAGCGTGAGGATGATGGCACTAGGCGGCGCAGCACACTGGTACTCAAGACAACTGGTTGTGTTGTTGCGCATCGTAGCTGGAGAGGCAGTTCGAAGTGTTCCTGGGAACTGATTGCTGGTGGACTGCTGCAGGTGAGCTTCTTATGGCTTACGCAAATGGGCCGACGTTTACAACAAAAAATGGAACATAAGCGACTTTCGTGCTTCCAGGCAGACGATTATTTGCACATCTGCTGATTTTGAATTGTTGAAAGTGCAGATCTGCGAAGAGATTGAGCTTCGACAAATCATATTATAACAGTGAAGCATACAATGGAAGGGAGAGTCTTTCCATGAGGGCAAAATCCATCTTGAGGGGAGAAGTGTGGGACAGTCCTAAAAGGAGAGAGAAGAAACGGAAAGATAAAAAAACGGGGGAGTAAAATCGTCCGTTTGAAAAAAAAAAGAGAAAGATTTTGATTGAAAGCATAAAATTTAGCCAAAATGGCGCAAGAAAAGCTGCCAGAAAGGAGAGGCGGAAACGTTAATCTGGAAGATGCTAAAATTCAGCTACAAGTGCATAAATTTTAACAAAAAGCATGCAGAATTTAACTAAAAGGCTGAAGAAACAAAGCTCAGTTTTGAGCATGAAGTGCATCTGGACAAGAGACGGAATTTTGATTAGGGCAACAGGATATCATCATTACAGGCAGGGAGTGGCATTTTGAACAGAACGGGAAAGTACTGCACAGGAATGGCATGATCAGGTCGGGATAGAACTGAGAGAGGCCTGCTCTTTTTCGACTTCTGCAGACGCGGACTATTTCAAAACAGACGATTTTCAGTAAACGCTAAAAAAACTGTGAAAATAGAACTGCTATCAGTATCAATATTCCATGTTAGTGCTCGTCCGAGACCGCCTGCCCAAGCTATCAGTGTCAGTATTCCACGCTGCTAACGCCAGGCCAGGCCCTTCGACTCTGGGCCAGCTGATCTGGAGTTATGGCCTGTTTGATGTGTTGCGCCACCTCTTCGGAGGCTGTCCGAGTGGTCGCTTACCTGCTGGAAATAATATTTACATCAGTTTCTTTTAAGGGATCACGCAAAGCGAGGCTTCAATACTATATCTTGTGCTCCACTAAAATCTGAAGCAAGCACCTGATACTTTGTGCATCTTGCAAAGCACGTTCAGACCAAAAGTTTCAATCTCTTAATATTCGTCGCTAATCATTCGAGAAGGTCACACAGTGTCTGGGAATAATTCTTTGGGCATTTTGTAAATGTAAGAGAACACAGCGCGCTATAATTTTTGCGGCTTTCCTGCTCTTTTTTGGCAATAAAACGGTCTTCGGCTCTTGGAAGCAGCTGAATACGGAATTTCTCCTGCTCAGCGGTGGTCTTTTATAGCTTCTTTCCCATGCTATCCCTTTACGGGCTTGTCTCGAGTTTTCTGCCTCATAAAAAGCTGCATGGTTCTCATTGTGTTGGTGAGGGTGCAGCATCAGTAGCGGAGCTAGTCACACGGAATGCCTGAAACAGCTGTTAATTCATTGTTTGTTCTTCATCCACTACTCAAAGCTGGACAGATCTTAAGCACATCGGTTTAATGTGAGTACAGCATACAAGCTGAGCCAGTGGGTGAAAATATGCGCAACGAGCGCAGGACAATGGTCGACGAATAGCACACTGGATGATGAACTAGCAATTTCTCCAGTTCCTGGAAAAAGAGTTTGAATATGTTAAAAATGAACGAGCTGATAAAGAGAGCAAATCTGATAGACCGGAGGGGCATATGCCCAGGAACGAAACTGCGAGAGGATAAGTTTATTGAAGCAATCAACAGTGAACGTTTAGGGAAATCCAAGGACGGAACAAACGTGGTGGAGAAATGAGGAAGTGAGGAACAGTTGAAATCAACGGGTAAAACTGAGGCCCAATGAGGAGGGTGAGGTCAGGTCATCTCGCTCTTCGTCCACCTCTCTCACCCATCATCCATCACTAAAATTATGGATTCCTGCGAATGCAAGTCACAAAAAGCAACAGCAATCCCGGAGAGTCAGAACACTGGTGCATTTTCGATGTGCAACTCGTTCACGGAGATGGCCACCCACACCATGCTAAATCGTTCAGTTGCTGGAGTCTCTTAATGACGTTCCAAAATAAAAAGGAAGTTTTAACTCCCCAGTGGTCACAAGCAATATTTCTGAGCATTTTCTGCTACCACTATAAGCTTGTTTAACAGGGTTCCATCAAGGTCTTGTAAGCCAATGGTTGTTGCTGTTAGCAGATGCTACAATCCGATCTACTTTCCAGCCCGTCTATCACGAAGGGGACTTTGACTTTGACTTCCTGCGTCACAGAAATGCCAAAATTGTAGGTCCCTAAAAAGGTAGATTTCTGCACATTCATAATCAGCTAATTTCAATCTGGCATGAATTCCACACATTGCCTTCTTCTGCAGTGAGAACCCTCGCCTGGTTCGCTCATCATCTCGCAGCTCTTTTTGAACACCTCCAAACTGTGGCACAGAAATTCCTAGAAAAATCAAACTGACTACACTGTACCCGAAACGTTTGTAGCTTATAAGGAATATAAATTTGTCAATATGATTCAAAACGCAGGCATCACTGGGAGACGCATAGGCTTCCTGGAAAGTATTGACAGTGGTTTGCAACAGACGGCCGGAGAAATTATGCGCTTATACAGTGAGTCAGTAACAGTTGTACTACAACAAATGATCTTTGGCTGCTTCTAAAATCTGTATTCAATTTCACAGGTACGCTACGGAATGAAAGTCAACTCCACATCTGTACTCGTTATGCGCAGTACATAATTATTTTGTATAGCTGGCCTCATACCTGAGGCTAGGAATACCTGAAGTCTTACGGGCATCAAATTTTATTGCACAGTACACAG